TATGCCAGTGACTAGAAGCCAGCATAAAGTTATGGAGGATCAACTTGCTGCACTGATTGCCCTTATACAGGGACAGAAGGAAGAACAGGAACGGCTTCAAGTCGAAGGTAAGAAAGAACAGGAACGGCTTCGATTCGAAGAGAAAGAGGAGCAGAAGCAAGAACAAGACCGACGTCATCGTGAACTGATTGAAACTCTAGCTATCAGAGATGAGCAACTAGAGGCTAGATTAAACCAAAAAATGGAGACTTCGTTGCAGGCTGTTAACCAGAAGGTTCTCGAGCTGAAAAGAAAACTCTTAGAGCCTCACATCAAAGATGACAGTTCCGTGGAGAGTTTTAGCACACCCACCGCTAAGATTTCACCACCCAATTGCGACGGAACTACGGCCTGGGAAATTTATAAAACACAGTTTGAGGCTGCTGCAAATGCAAATCACTGGACAGAGCAGCAGAAAGCAACGTCATTAGTAGTGGCTCTACGAGGTAAAGCGGCCGAATTGCTTCAATCTTTAACCACTATGGATCAAGGAAACCATGCGGCTTTGGTGCATGCTCTTCAGCTGAGCTTTGGCAACGAACACAAAGAGACCGTGTTTCAAGCCCAGTTGAGAATGAGGCAGCAGAAATCAGGAGAATCTCTACAGGAATTCGAGGGCGAGATTGAGAAACTCACTCATCTGGCTTACCCTTCAGCACGGAAAGTTTCCGAAAGTAATTGGCGGCCGAACGATTTATCGAAGGAGTTCGGGGAGACGATATGAGGTACCATCTACGTCTAGTGAGACCTCGAGACATCAGTGAGGCTCTCATTCGAGCTTTAGAGTTTAAAGCGTCTCGAGTATCGGTCCCTTCAGCACCAAGAGTAAGGCTGGCTTCGATCGACTACGAACGGGATATACTAGCTGACAAACTGGACAACATATACGACGCTCTACAGAAGATGACGGCCAGTTGTAATAGTACTCGCCCGCCAACTCAGGAAGCCCCACAAAGAAAAGAAGGAGTATAAGGTGCTTCAATTGCGGTAAATTGGGACATATCAGAAGTGATTGCCGCAATAGAGCACGAAGTCCGTCACCGTCGCCCAGGAAGCCCAGCGGTGACACTAACATCAGAAGACCGTGCAAAGAGGACTGTAGGCATTGTCAAAGAGTAGAACAACAGGCAGGAGTCACCTCAATACGAAGAACCAAAGTAGAGCTTAATGAAGGGTGGACTACAGGGGAGCTTAAACGAGAACAAATGGAGGACCCAATAATTGAACCCATTCTCAAAGCGAAAACCGAGGACAAAAGGCCAGAGTGGAAAAACATCTCTGATAAGAATCCACTCGTAAAGGCATTGTGGGCCCAGTGGGACTCTTTAACACTGGAGAATGGCTTATTGAAGAGATCCTGGGAAAGTGCCGATGGCAGGTCTGTCGTAAGACAATTGGTTGTCCCTGAGAACAAGAGGTCAGAGGTTGTTAAAGAAATGCACAATGGAAAAAGTGGAGGACATTTTGGAATCAATAAAACTCTGGCCAAAATTAAAGAGCGATTTTATTGGGTAAATTATCGCGAAGACGTAGAGTCCTGGTGCCGTAAGTGCGAAGCATGTTGTGCCACCAAAGGTCCTCGCACGAGATCA